CTACTTAAATATTTAGGAAAAAACATTTGATAAAATGTTTTCTCAGATTAATAAATGTGATTTGTTGACATGATAACAAGATGTATCAACATTTGAAAGGGCTGAGTAACTCTGCAGAGCAATTTTTCAAAAGGAAAATAAAACACTAATACATTCTACGACAAAATCATACATATAAGAGATCATTGAATATGCAATGTTGGTCAAAAGACTTTATAATGTAATAGGGAAGCAAAAATTCAATAGCATCCCCCAAGATTCCAAAATATACCCAGTCTTTAAGAATCTATTACTTGCTGAGTTTTGGTGAACTATCAAAGACAATTACCCGAAACTACTTAAAAGCAGTATTAAAATAGCTTCTTATTCCTTTTCAACTTTTTATCTGCCAGAAGTTGGATTTTCTTCATTTACTTTAAACAAAACAATAGCAGATTAAATGCAAGAGCAAGCAGGAGCCCTCAGTGTGCTCTATTAAGAAAGGCATGTAAACACTGCCATTCTTCTTACTTTTGCTTGTTTTGTTTTGGAAATGTAGCTGTTTGGGTTTTACCCCCACTAAATCATACTTAGACTACGTAAAATGGATCTACTATTATTCTTTTGATTAATTAATGATTTATGATTTCTTGGTTTTAATTTCTAATATGAAAATGATTAATAGATATATCATGTACATGGAAAAGTTCTTAAATAGATTCAATAACTTTGAAGACTGCTGAGGTACTCAAAAAGGGAAACAATCTTCACGGCCTCTCATCCATGATAATAACTAAACAACTCTTTAAGGAGTAGCTACTTCATTGCAATACACTTGGAACTGGGAAATTTGAAATAAATGACTCCATCCCTGAGTTTGAAGACTTTCTAGTTTAAGAGGAAGAGTGCTTTCCCATTATAATAATTTAAAATTAATTTTCCTGGGAAGACTCATATTCTTACAGGCATGGCTTTTACATCTTGCTATCTACTATGACAACATCATGACACATGGCATACATGAATGCCTTTTAATGCCTACTTTCATCCCATCGGATGCACTTGATTTCTTCATCAAAAAGTATACTAACGACATACAATTTCAAGTTAAGGAGCACTGAGCAAGACAGTTCTAGCAACTTTTGTAATTCTGTGATGACGTGGGATTTTTAAAGAAGATTATTGGCAAATTAAGGATACCATAAGTGAGAGGTGCATTTTCCCATCACCGCAGATGTAGTTATACCATTGACAGAAAGCAAGCAGGGGGCCAACATTACATGTGTCCCATCCCCCCAACCCCACCCACCGCATCCCCCGCCTTTGTAACTACTTAACTGAAGGAGCAAAAAGGTTTTTTTTGTTTTGTTTGTTTTTTATCTGCGTTTCAGCTCTTTCACCATTTTCTTAAATTTCTAACCTGCTGACTCACTCTCTGTCTCTTCTACAAAAATCTTTCTCTGATTGCTGGAGTGAAAAGCAATAGAACTTTAACTTGACTGAGAAAACCATTTAGATTTACTGGAAATTTATTTTAAAGGACTTTATCATGTGTCCTTTTATAAATTCAGCACTTCAAATAGCATGCAAATTCAATCTGTCTCCATGACATGACACTTTGCAAAGATGTCCCCGGAAGGAATTCCTACGGCTTCTGGTTTTGCAAAAGGTGCCTGAATACTCCCAGATAAGTGCCTTCTCGAGGACACATGTTGGGGGAATATTCTTCCCTGCATTCAAAAACGTGAACAATGGCTTATTGTTCCTGTTACAATGCCTAAAATGGGCTTACAAGCTCTTTCTAAAAGTTTGGTTCTGAATTAAATGTAGATACACATTTGAAAACTACAGGCTGGATGAACAGTACCCTTACTTTACATTTGTAACGTCATGTACAAGCTGTGTGAACATCTGGTGTTTTGCAAATTTGGGAAAATGCAGCTGCATTTCCCTTTCCAAATGTGTCCTCTGACATGTATTTCAGTGAGTTTCAGGTTCTCTACAGGACAGTGTGATGTGATTTCAAAGATGCAGGCCACCTAAAGTTTAAGTTTTTCTCTCCAAATGCAAAATTAAGAGCTTGTCAATTAATAACACAAGAAAAAATATCAACTGAGATTAAAAATGTGAAATTAATTTTAAATGCATTTCTCACATCACTGTAACCTATCTGACTCAGCAGAAATGACCTTTGATATAATTTATAATAAAATTACATCTATGTTTAGGTTTATGTCACCTGAGCTACGTGAAAGCAATGCATTAATCAACTTAAATTCTATTGGGTCAGCTATGTATTTTTCCTCAGAAGGAACAGCGTACTATGTACATATACAAAACACAAATATTTGTGTGATGTATTTTTAGGTTAGTGAACATCTTGAAAGTACATGATTGAGAAACCAATGTGGTAAGCAGGTGTTACAAACCAATTTCGAATATTGTAAATAAGAATGAAAACTCTGAGAGGAATCAATGCCCCATTCTTAGAGTTAAATACGGATGAATATTTGTTGGAAAGTCTAAATGGCCCATCTAGCCCTACATACAAGCTGCCAATAACCACACGGCCTTGGTGGTGGACAAGGCTCAGTTGCTGCCCTCACATAAAATGTTGGAAGCGTCCCTGAGCAGGAGGAGAAAGGTACCTCAGAATGAACACTCCTCAAGTGGCCGTGCTGGCGCCAGGCCTTCCCTGGACCCTTCAGCCACTTCAGCTCTACCGCCGTCTGCTCAGATTCCACACTCGACTGTCTGCAGCGTCTTCTTTCCATAGCCTTCCTTCTAATCCAATTACTCTGGCGGTTTGAAAGCTCACGAAAAGCCACTTTGATTCTATGAAAGACCTACATCGTTACCTTACTCTTACTAACTGAAAGAAATCACAAGAGGATTTTTGATTTTGTAAATACAGATCGCCGACTCCCCTTTTTCAATAGTATAAATATTAACTATACACATGGACCTCACCAGATGGGACACACAGCAATCAAACTGATGAGATGTGTGGGAAGAGATACCGGATCTGCAACGGCTCCAGCCCAACAAGGCCGGGAGCAGACTGTGGAACAGACCATCCCTGGCTCACCTGCAAGTTCAGGTTGAAGCTGAAGAAAATTAAAACAAGTCCACAAGAACCAAAATACAACCTTGAATGTATCCCACCAGAATTAAAAGACCACCTCATGAACATATTTGATGTGTTTACCACTAATGACCAAAGCAAAAAAAAAATGTGATTGACATCAAGAACATTAAAAGGTCATTAAAAAGATAGGAATGAAAGAAAGGACCAAAGTGGATGTCATAAGAGACCCTAAAACTTGCCTTTGATTGGAGAGCAGCTAAAGCAAATGAAGGAAATGATGAAGCAAAGGAGCTCAATAGGAAATCTCAAAAGACCACTTGAGCAGATAAAGCAAGTCATTACAATGAAATTGTGAAAACCGGGAATTAGAAAACGAAGAGGGAAGAACATGTTCAGGACAAACCAAATGAAAAGGCAAGACATTCATAAGATACCCACCTGGGTATCAGAAAAGAAGTAATCCTGGTTTTGCCCGAGCCAAAGAAAAGTGACCGCACAGGACAATATTACTATCACAAACGCAGTAAAATTCTGCTCGAGTAAAGACGGGTTGCAACAGCGCGTCAATAGAGAACAACATGAGATCCAGAAGAGGGTTTGGAGCCAGGGGTTTCACTGGTGATGTCACACGATCTTGGCTGCCAACAGAGAATACCCAAGAATGACTACTTGTTTTTATCAATTAGGCAAAGGTATTTGACTTTGTGGACCATAACAAACGATGGATAACATTGTGAATGATGGGCAGTCCAGCGTAGTCCACTGTTCTCAAACCTATACAAAGATCTAGAGGCAGTTGTTCAAACAAAACGAGGGACATTATTGTCGGGTTTAAAATCAGGAAAGGTGTGAGTCAGGGCTGTACCCTGTCACCGTACTTAGTCAATCGGCCTGAGGAGGCCACATTGCAAGAAGCCTGCATATGTGAAGAACGTCCATAAGGACTGGAGGACGGCTCAGGGCAGCCTGCGAGGTACAGGTACCCAAACCTTGCTTTTGCTGGAAATCAAAAGGACTTGAAGCATTTATTGATGAAGATCACAAACTACCATCTTCGAAAGAGATTACAACCCTGTGTAAAGAAAATCAAAATCTTCACAACGGCTCACTGGACAACAACAGGAAGATGAACAAAGACCGAAGTTGTCAAGGACTTCATTTTACTTGTATCCACCATCATGGAATCACAAAGCAGTTGTCATGAAATGAAAGGCCGAACAATACTGGACGAATCTGCCACACAAAATCCCTCTCCAGTGTTAATGAAGAAAGATGGCACCTGGAGGACTGAGGTAGGTTCACCTCACCCAACGCAAGGCGTCTTCACTTGTCTCCTACATGCGAAAGCTGGGCAGTGAAGGAAAAAGAAACGATATTTGCTGCATGTGAATGATGGTGCTGACAATACTGAAAACACCACAGACTGCCTGAAAAGAAGCCAATCGGTCTCGGAGGAAGTACATCCACAATGTCCAGTAGAAGAGAGGAGGGCAAGATCCTCCCATTGACTTCAGGCGTGCTACCAGTCCTGGGAAGAGGAAACCATGGCTCACCGAGTGGAGAGTCAGTAGAAAAGAGAAAGACCCTCAACGACACAGGGCTGCAAAATGGGCTCAAAGTTAGCAACCACTCCGAGGATGCTGCAGACTCAGGCAGTGCGCCAGGTCAACGGGAGTTGGAGCTGACTGGATGGCGCTGAACAACTGCATCAGATGTAAAAAAGAGAAAGCAATCATCGGACTTAGAGAGACACATAGTTCACAGGATTTTCCAACAAAAACATCTTATGCTTCACACAAAAAATAAAACACCAAACTTAAGTAGTAAATCCCCACTTAAAAAAAGAAACTGAAAACAAAAATCTACAAAATTTAAGAGCTATTTCCATTTCTTCTCAGGAATTCAATCTACTTCAAGCCATCTCTTTGGTTACCTTGTCCACAGCTTTTGGAGAAAATGTAATTGCATCAACCACAGTGATCAGGTCAGCGGGGTGGAGTCGGTCAAAGTACTTCATGCAGACATCATAGGCATGAAGCCACTCGGGTGAGGAGTCGGGGACTTGTTTAATGAGGTGAGGGTCTCCAGTCCAGAACAACTTCTGTAGCCAGATGGTGTACAGAGAGCTTGGGGAGAGCATTCGTCCATCCTTTCCAGGGATTTTGGGAACAAGTTTGGAAATAGATAAAATGTTTTGACTTGAAAGAACTGGCTCCAATGCTTCAAGAGGACTTGTGTTGTCATCTGTCAGCTTTTTGTAATTAAGACCTATTGGAAAGAAAGAAAAACAAATGAGTAGAGACGTATTCCATTTCCTGACATAACCACACTCAAGCTTCCATGCACACATAGCATTTTGAAAGGTTGAATGAAAACCATTTCTAGACTGTGAGTTAAAAGATGTGAGAATCTGTGCCGGACTGCACCTCAACCTGCTGGGCAACCCAACTCAACTTGGGGGCCTGCGATGGGGGTGGCGACATTTCCTCGACTCTCCAGACACCTCCCAGCAGCACCTGGGTTGTCACGAGACTGCAGTGTATTCACTTTATCTGCTCGATTCACTTGAAAGCAGGCGCTGGGTCACGCTCCTATGTTCCCCACCGAGCCCAGTGTCTAACGGGGCTCCTTGGGGAAAGAGAAACTTTTGCAAGTGTTATGAATAGCAAATACATCTAGATTCGAAAGGGTTTTTATAAATTATAAAGTATCATATGTATTTTAGAAGTATTAATGTGTATAGTTTCTTAGCTATGAGCATCAAGATGCATAGAAACCAATCTAAAGATTTCTAAAATTTATTTAAGATCCAGACACTCTTATTTCAAGGTTTACAAACACATAAGCTTCCCTTAAGTGAAATTCTGTTAAATTACCTTAATCTTGTCTGTTTATAGATAAAATATACTAATAGAATGGAGTTCTGAGAGGTATACTCAGTTGCTAAGCCAAAGGTGGGAGGTCCCTTGAGAGAAATGCCTGTTGATCTACTTGTGAAAAGTAATCAATGAAAACTGTAAGGAGTGCAGTTCTATTCTGACACGTGTCGGCTCCACATAACTGGCAATTGACTTCACAGGAACTGTTTTTTAAGAACATCACGATTGATAAAATGGAGAGTCAGTGAAAAAGAAGAAAATCCTCAACAAAGTGAAGGGCACAGTGGCTACCACAATGGGGTCCCTCAGCGGTGACTGTGAGGATGGCCCGGGACCAGGCGGCGGTGTGAGCTGGTGTACCCAGGGGGCACTCTGAGTCGCAGTCTACTCGATGGCATCTAACAGCAATAGGGGGAAAACAGTTAAGAGTAGTTGTAAAAACATTTAGATTTTGTGTATAAAAAACAGAAACTTCGGATTTTGGTTAGTTAACCGTATCTTAGGTCCCACCACAGTCTGTCGGTCTGTTGTACTGTGCTGGCTTGTGTGTTGCTGGGATGCTGGAAGCGATGTCACGGGTATTTCAAATGGCAGCAGGGTCCCTCAAAGTGGACAGGTTTCAGAGGGGCTTCCAGACTAGGGGCAGACCATGAAGCTGGACTCGGCTCCTCACTTGAGAGGGAGGAGCCACTGAAAACCTCATGTCCGACACTGAGGGCCTAATGAGTGGAAGCAAACATTTTGGGAGACAGTGCCACAGGATGAGCCTCATGGGAACGAAGGCACTTGAAATGTGACCGAGGAGGAGCAGATTTCGAAAGCTGGAGTCTACCATGGCGATGTGAGGAATGGAGCCTGTAGGAATGGAGCCTTCCGGATCTTTATTGGCTGATGGGGAGCAATTCAAAGGAATGTGAAACAGCGGCAAAAATCTGTTACCGAGTGAAAGGTGCAATGTGTGAAGTATGAATGTAGGAAAATTGTAAGTGGTGAAAAATGAAATGGAAAGCATAATGATTGATGATCTAGGCATCAATGAGCTGAAATGGCCTGGTACTGGTCATTTTGAATCAGATAACTATATGACTTATTTTGCTAGGAATAGCACAATCATGAGGAATGGCATGGCATTCATTGTTAAAAAGGCCATTGCACCTCCCCTGAGAAGAATGTATCTCAAATGATGGCACTGAATCCGCAGCTTCGGGAGAAGGATATATCTGACCAGAGCACACAGGAACAGATGACGGGGGAGGAGGAGAGACTGGAGCACATCCTG